ATGTTGATTAGTTCTGGGTTACCACAGAACATGTGGGGAGAAGCTATTCTTTCTACAAATTACATCTTGAAAAAGTTTTAAGAAAGAATATGGATAATACTCCATATGAACTATGGACAAATCGGACACCTTTATATAAATACTTACGAATGTGGGGGTGTCTTGCTAAAGTTGTGGTGCCTCCTCCTAAGAAGGTCAAGATTGGACCTTAGACAGTTGATTGTGTGTTCATTGGTTATGCACAAAATAGTAGTGCATATAGGTTCCTTGTACATTATTCGAATGTACCTAATGTTCATCCGAACACATTTATGGAGTCTAGGAATGCATAATTCTTTGAGAATATATTTCCTTGTAAGTCTCCTAAACAGTTAACTCCTATTAAACGGACAATGGAATCTTCTACTTCTGGCAGTAGTAAAGATCCAGTTGAAGAAGGTGAGGATGAGCCTAGACGGAGCAAAAGGATCGAAACTTCTAAGACGTTTGGCCCTGATTTTCTCACATATTGAATGGAGAATGATCCTCAAAGCTATAAAGAAGCTATATCTTCTCTAGATGGTCATTTATGGAAATAAGCCATCAAAAGTGAAATTGATTGCAATCTACAGAATCATACCTTGGAGTTAGTAGATCTTCCACCGGGCTGTAAGCCTTTGGGCTACAAGTGGATCTTCAAGAAAAAGATGAAAGCGGACGGCTCCATTGATAAATATAAAGCTCGGCTAGTAATCAAAGATTATAAGCAAAAGGAAGGCTTAGATTACTTTGATACTTATTCTCCTGTGTCGAGAATAACTTCTATCTGGATGATAATTGCTATTGCGGCCTTGCGAAATCTGAAAATACATCAGATGGATGTAAAAACAGCTTTCCTAAATGGAGATTTGAATGAAGAAATCTACATGAAGCAACCAGAGGGGTTTACAGCTCTAGGTCAAGAAAGAAAAGTTTGTAGACTGGTTAAATTGTTGTATGGTTTGAAGCAAGCACCGAAGCAATGACATGAGAAGTTTGATAATGCTATGCTTTCTAGTAGTTTTAGAATCAACGAGTGCAACAAGTGTGTATATGTCAAGGACACTAATGATGGATATGTCATACTATGTCTATACGTCGGCGACATGCTCATTGTCTATAGCTCTGACAAGATTATCAAAGCCACTAAGAATATGTTAAACTCGAAGTTTGACATGAAAGATATGGGTCTCGTGGATGTCATTTTGGGAGTAAAAATTACTCGAACACCAAATGGACTTGTGTTATCTCAATCTCATTACATTGATAAGATACTAGACAAGTTCTACAAGTCAGATACCACTGTGGCCAGGACTCCAGTGGATTTGAGTCTCCACTTATCCAAGAAAACTGGTGATGGTGTATCACAGTTAGAATATTCTCGGATAATTGGGAGTTTAATGTATTTAATGACTTGTACGAGACCGGATATAGCATACTCAGTTAGCAGATTGAGTCACTACACGAGTAACCCAGGTGCTGTCCACTGGAAAGCCATTTTTAGGGTGCTACATTATTTAAGGCACACTCGTGATTTTGGACTGCACTATTCTAGATACCCTGTAGTAATCGAAGGGTATGCTGATGCAAATTGGATATCAGATATGTCAGATACCAAGTCTACTAGTGGATATGTCTTTGCTCTTGGTGGTGTAGCTGTCTCTTGGAAATCGTCCAAACAAACTTGCATCGCAAGATCTACAATGGAATCAGAGTTCATCGCTTTGGACAAAGCAATTGAAGAAGCAGAGTGACTTCGCCAGTTTGTTGAGGATATTCCAAGATGGTCAAAGCCTGTGCCTGCAATTTGTGTTTATTGTGATAATCAATCAACAATTGGCAGGGCACAGAGCAATATGTATAATGGTAAGTCTCGCCATATTCGAAGATGACACAATACCATTCGACAACTACTCTCACAAGGTATTATCACTCTGGACTACGTGAAGTCAAAGGATAATATTGCTGATCCGCTAACCAAAGGGCTAACTCGAGAGCTAGTTGTAAAAGCAGCGAGGGGAATGGGCTTTCAACCTATGACGTTGAAAAGTATCATGGTGGAAACCCAACCTAACTGAATGGAGATCTCAGGATCTAGGTTCAAAGGGACAACTAAAACATGTATATCTGTGTAAATCACTGAGAATGTTCTCCTTCTGCTCATTCCTATGGTGCTCACAGTGATTGGAAGATGCTGGTTAAGCTATGCTTTTAATGACCATTAAGCGTTGTTGTGAAAAACTGAGTTAAGAGGTCACCTATGTGAGTGTGAAGTGGGGCCACTTCTATAAGGATTGGCAAGGCTACATCCTTGAAAAAACACTTATAGAACCAAGCGACGTGTTCATGGCTAAAACAAACACAACAGTAAGAACTATGTTGTGACTAGAATGGTCCTGTCTAAGATCTATTGTCTTGGTTTACACAAATGGCGAAACAATTCAAGGCATCAGATCCACGGTTTGCTAGTAATTCCCGATAGGTTTCACAAGGGAAGGTTCAAAGCTAAATGCTACCTATCCTATGCAGGATTGATTCATTTTACTCTCTCTTTCCTCTTGAGTCTTAGTTTCCATTTTTCATTCATGTGGGGGATTGTTAGAATTGAATGAAAAATATTGAATAGAAATAATGAAAAATATTGAATAGAAGTCTTTTCATATATTGTAACTCAAGTAACTCAAGTCCCTTCATGTTTTTAACTCCTTTATCAATGAATGGTTTAACTCCTTGATTAATGAACTAGCTATTCCTCCATTGGTATAAATAGGAGTCTCTCTAGGTTGGAAAATCACAATTGAAATGTAAGCTTCTTCCTCTAAGCAACAATCTTCCTTTTCTCATTTTCAAGTTCTTCCTTGAGCTTATAATTTCTTTGTGAGATAAAGTATATCACAACTAGTTCATAGGCGGTTAACGTAGTGCAGCGTGATCCGACAACCGATTGTATCCTGGGAATCGAACACCGATCAAAACCTCATGCACTCGGGTGAGGCGGTGAATTCGATTTAAGGAAACTGTGAATACACAGGCTTTCAGTTTGATTTGATTCTCTAATATTTACCTACATACAGCTCCCTCAAGCAGTCTAATTAGAGGAAGATGTTAGAATTTCAAGAAGTTGTTGATGATGAAAAACGGACAGATTCTAAAACACCAGACACACGAAATTCAAAGGTCTAATTTGATATATTTAAATTCAAATTTCTGATTTATTTAATTCAATTTAAGTGAGGTTGTATAACTTGTATTCTAGGACTTTTTTAAATTCAAACACCAGAATTTCAAGAGGCTTTATTTTTTTTTTTTTTTTTTTTTAACTCGTGTTGTTAACTGAAATTTTGCCTTTTCTAATTTGTAATGTAGATGGATTCTGATGCACAAGAAGTTGTAAAGCAGCAAATAGAGATGTCGGACGTATGGGCACATTTCACCAAGCTATTGAGGGGATAGCAAAATACAATTACTGTAAAAAAAGTCTACGAGTGTAACGGAATTTCTATTTTGCAAAAGCACTTAAAAGCTTGTTCTGCTTATAAATGCACTAACATAGATAACAAGTAAACAATTCTAAGACAAGAAAAAATTGATGACTATAATTGACCTAATGGTGAGGGTGCCATATGATGTGTTATGACATCATTATTTTGTGTTTATAAGTGTAGAAAAACATTGGTGAGGATGTTGGTCATTGATTAATTGCCTTTTTCCCTTTGTAGAGGGTGAAGGCTTCAACTTTCAAGGCATTTGTACTACAACTTTATCCAAAATTTGTGATTCGTGGTCCTAGAACTATTGCTAGTTATGTGATTCATCTGTACCATTAAAAAAATAGTCCTTAAAAAGTAAATTTATTCAGAATAATCAAAGGATTTTTAACCTAGTATTGTTGGACCTCAATTCAAAATATCAGTTACATTGTAATCATAGATTGTTGGTCATTTTGTCACCACTCCAATCTATTTACTTTGAAGCTTCAACTTTATATTTAAGCTATATACCATTTTTCTCATGAAGGTTTGATGGCTTCGTGTAAAGAATTGCTTGGGCAGGACATATTATTAACTTTTGTCATTGACTCATTCGTCTATATTAGCGAATTATTGTTATTATTTGTATGAGGATGAAACTTGATGTTTGTGCATTCAAATTAAGATTTTATTTCTATTTTTTATTTTTTTATTTTTAGTTTGAACATTTGCGAATGAATTTTATTGCTAATATTTCATTTGATGATTGATAATTAAAACTTGCTGAATGTTTAATGTTTATTTTTTCGATTTGAGTCTATATTACTAACATATGGATATGGTGAAAGATTTTACTTCGTATTTATTATTTGAAAATTTAAGTAATGAAATCTGAATCAATTCAAATCAAACTAAAATCAAATTGTTCAATTTTGGTTTAGTTCCACGTCTTAAAAAAAGTTATTTGTTTTGTTATCAAAAAAATCATTGATTCATGATTCGATTCAATTCTCTTAAAATCGGAACCAAATGGAATTTCCACCGTCGTGGGAGACAGTTAATAAAACTTGATTACTAAAGAGTAAATTCGAAGAAGCAAAGTTCAATATAAAATTCATTAGGTCAAATGAGTGTTTGAAAGGGTCCAACTATAACGTGTGGTCCCATGCCAGACAGCCCAGCAATGCCGGTGACATTTTTGTCCAGGAAAAATTTGATCTAAGGAAGGAATTGATTGCATTACAGTGAGTAACAAAACTCAACTACCAAGCAAGGAATAATGTTACTGTCAACTCACTCATAATAACTATTCCAAACAGGGGCTAATTAATTAATACTCTCAAACAAAATAATTTTAGATAATTTAAATTTTGCGTTTTCTATGGTACTATGGATACTGAAACCAAGCTTACACCAAGTATGAAAGAATGTGAAGAATTTAGTTTAAAGAATTTTTTATATATGTATAGCTTAGGAAGAGATCATCAACGATTCTTCCCTCATTTATTATATTGGTTGTGATCCATGTTTAAGTTGTTTGATAATTTCAGTATTAGACAACAGTAAAAACATAAAGTTACTGTGCAAAATTATGAGTAGCTCTCGTATATCCTTTTACCATTTGCTACTTAACTTCACACATTTTTCTTTCTTCTCTTCACTTTTGTGCAGTCCTTATTTCTTCAACCTTTCGATGGACATGGATATCAATCTCTTCAAATCTCAATCCATCTGCTGATATTTTATGATCCGGGTCTTAATATTCTCAGTTTTCAAAACTTTTTATCTCTCAAAAAAATCAAGTCTTCACTTCTTTATTTCCATTAACTTTTTAAATCGTTAATGCATATGTAAAACCCATCTTTTTGTTGGGATTTTCATTAGTTTCTTGATTGATTCAATCAGACATTTTTCCATCAGAAAAGCAAACAGCAGTCAGCTTCATTTGGTATGTTTCTCTAAGTTTTTATCTTTTAAGCATCGTACACTATAGCTTCATCAGATATTCGTTGTGGGTTTATGTGAAGAAAATTAATATTTCTTGTGATTCAATGGACTTGACACTTTAAATTTACTATTGTATGGATTGCTTCTCTCTTTTAATTTTGTAAAGTTAAGCTATTTTGAGGTTATTTTTGTGCTGTTTAGCTACTGGATTTGTCGTTGATTTCCATTGATTGGGGATCGCATATTTGGATTGATGCACCGGATTCAGAATTTGTTTATACTGATTTGACATTTTTTTTGTCAGAAAGGGATAAAGGTCTGGGTTTCCTGTTGTTGTTTCTGTGTTTTGCCATTCTGGTATGTTGAAAATCTATTGAGTATAGCTCAACTACTAAGAGTTATTTTAAATCTCTTGATCTTAATATTTGTCATTGCAGATTGATTTATTTGTTCTTTGAATAGCTGACTTAAAATAATGGGAAGAATAAGAGGAAAAGGGAAGAAACAGTCTATAGTTGCCGCTGGAGACGATGCTGTAACTGGAGAGGATGAGAAGATACCGATAAGGAGAAGAGGAAGGCCACAGAAACCATTGAAGGATGAAATTGAGGAGGGAGAAAAATCTGAGAAGATAGAAGAAGAAAATGATGAAGATGATAATAACACATTGAGTTCTGTACTGATTAAAAGTTCAAAAAATCAACCTGCCAAAGAGAACGGCAGGAAGAGAAAGAGGCCTTCACTGATCAAGGACCATGCTGATTCGGTGAAAGAGGAAAATGATGTGGGGACTAATGCTAACACTACTGACTTGGTCAAGTCCGTTGGGTTTAGGCAAAATGGAAGCAGGAGGAAAAATAAGCCTAGACGTGCTGCTGAAGTTGGGGTCGAGTGCAAATGAATTTTGTCTTGTAGATTGAGGATTGCAGCTTTGTCAGCTGATATGGGGCTTTCTGTATTTCTTTTGTCTTAAGTTTGTATTTTTGATAATGACTTTCAAGAAATTCTTATATATTAATGTCTTTTGCTGGTGAAGAAGATTGCAAATGCTTGACATCTCTTTTTCTTTGTATTTCTCACTGCGAGAGTTTAGAAGCCATGAGAGTATAGACTTCGGTTATAACACAGAGATTAAAAAGTTTATACATGTTGAAAGAAGGTAAATTCGTGTACAAGTGGATGCAGAGTCTACTTCTGGGATTCAGTAGACATGTCATTCCTTTGTGCATAGGATGTTTCTAGTAGATACATAAGTTGAGTTTCTTGTATATTGTGTATCTGGGACAATTTATGTCGAATGTTGCACTTGTTTTGAAGTGACCTGATGGAAGTTAGGAATGGATGAAGATTTAGAAAGATGGCGTTTGGTTCTAACCTGGCTTTTATCCCTTCAAGTCGCCTCATTTGGTTATCTAGTATAGCAACCTTGTGTTCATGTTTGCTAAACAGGTTATATTGATAAGGGAAATAATATATAGATACAAACGTCTTAAATAGAGGATCATCAGCTAAAGAGGTAGTAAAGTTGGGTAAAACTCTGCTGAAAGGAAAGGAAAAGGGAGGGAGAACCGATATTATCTATTGTCAATTACTGGCGATAGTATTAAGTATTTAGTACATGAAGTTAAAACCCAAAGTCGATGCTTTTACTCTCAGTCAGAGAGTGCCACGGGAGGAAAAATGAATTTGTCTATCGATGGCATTGACATGGATCCTCTTATAAGCGCAAACTTTCTAGTTCTTTACGCCGTGAATGTGTATCTTCTTGTGGTGATTGCATTCACAAATTGCAAAATAAGATAGGTACTTTAATACATTACAGGGTAGCAGTGCATAGGTATGAATTAAATGATTCTATTTTGTGTAAGATTCTATGTACTTTTTCTACTCAACTAGGGAGAAACTTGTTGGATGAATATGATAAACATCGCAAATTTGTGTGGTTTAACGAACCTTACACTGTGTGTTGTTATGTTGAATTAAATAATACAGGACAAAAGTAATTCAAAAACGATATTAATATAGTCGTACAATGTTGTCTATTATTTGTTGCATAAGATATCATTAGCTATTACATATGTCCCAACCCAGAAACATTTTCTTTCACATGTCTCCCATTTCATATATAGGACTTGCTACCTATGAAGCTGCGGCTGGTTTTGAAGCCCAAACTCCTGTTTCCATGCTTTAAAAATTAACATTAATTTCTAATTACACGTGATTAATATTTTTATCTTGGTCAGGACCTAAATATTACAAAAATTAAAAGTTCAATTAATGATCGAATGAATAGTGCTAACTAATATTAGTTTTGAACACCAATCTAGGTGTAAACATATTATAAATCATATTAAATGGACTATAATTCGTTGTATTTAATTGAACTTGTAATTTAAGAGTACCGATATTCAATACATGTCTAACATCGATCTACGTGACAGCACTTGTGACGTTAAATTATAGGTTTATTAAATACAAGAATTTATTGTGTTCAATACCACTTGAACTAGATAACATTATTCGTAATCTAATGTCATTACTGTTACCATCTAGATTGGTGTTAAACATCAGTAGTGCAAAATAAAATTACTTTTCTTTCATTCATACATAAAATACAAGCTAGTTGCTTGTTTTAGTTTATTTTTTGTGGTGGAATCTATAAAATTGGGACCAAATTTGCACTCTAATTTATAGATACCAACTCTCACACAAGGACAAAAAATTCAGCTGTCAAATTGTTTCCGACTACTAATTTTTTATAGACAACGGTTATCTCCAAAAATGTGCAAAAAATATGAAAACATAGTTTTAAAAAAATTAAGAAATATGGATAATAAAAATCCTATAAATATCCACACTCTTCACTCCAATTTTTCGTACAAAAATCTTTAATCTCTCCTCTCACATAATTCGTTCATTTGCATATCCAATTTCTTTTCCTCTACATTCCGTTTCTCATTCGTTAGAAAATAACAATGACGAGAATTTCAATTCTAAAAAATCATCAAGAGGGCAAAAATCATAGAAGTAATGTACAGTGGATCAAAACAGTAGAAGTAATGTAAATTGTCAAACTTGTTGGTATATAAGTCAAAAATTGTAAATAGTGCAAAGTCATATAATTTGACAATTTATTTCAATTAATGTTCAGTCACCTAAGAATCTATACTCAAATTTCTTACCCACCTTTTTCTCCCTAAATATTATTTTAAAGAGTAATTAACATAAAATTTCCTTACCTTTCAATGTTATTGTACAAACATCCTTAACTTTTATTTTTTAACATTTTCACCCATACTTTCACCTTTCATTGCAGAAATCATCCTTTTATCCAATTTTCAATAAAAAGTATAAAATGACGAATATATCCTCCTATTTAAATAACAAAAAAAAAGAAAATTAAAAAACAAATTGCAATTATACTCCCAAACTTTTTTTTAAATGTGCAAATGAGTCCAAATAAATTATAAAAAGGGTAATTAGCACAAAACATTCCTATTTTTCAATATTATTATGCAAAACGTCCATGCATTTTATTTTCTGAAAATGATCATTTTCATCAATTTTCTTAATTAAAATTTGTAAAATGACAAACATACCCTCTCTTTAAATAAAAAAAATAAAGATCAAATTACAACTATACTCTCAAAATTTTCAAAAAGTACAAATAAATGTCACTTTCTTTTTTAATTATTTATTTGAAATTTATTTGTACTTTTTTGAAAATTTGAGAGTATAGTTGCAATTTATTATTTATTTTTCTTTTCTTTATGTTTTTTTATTTAAAGATGAGGGTATATTTGTCATTTTACAACTTTTAATTGAGAAAATAGATTAAAATTATCATTTTCACAATGAAGTGTGAAAATAAGGATGAAAATATCAGAAAATGAAAGGTAGGGGAGTTTTGCACAATAATATTGAAAAATAAGAATGTTTTGTGCTAATTACCCTTTTAATAATTTTTTTGGACGAATTTGGACTTTTAAAAATTTGGGAGTATGTTTGCAATTTGTTCTTTAATTTTTTTTTTGTTTTATTTAAATATGAGGGTATATTTGTCATTTTACATTTTTTATTGAGAAATTAGATGACTTCAGCAATAAAAGATGAAAGTGGAGTGAAAATGCTTAAAATGAAAAGTGGGGACGTTTTTCACAAAAATATTGAAAGCTAAGGACGTTTTGTGCTAATTACTCTTATTTCAAATTATGGATGGCAAAAAGTTTGTTAAACCTGATGGGGATTCCCTGCCTAATTGGGTAAAATGAATGAGAGCAATGCGAGGATCATTTCTTCGAAGCAGGTACTAGATGGGTTTAATTATTATTATTATTTTTCCAAATTTAAGCTGTTTATCAAATAAAAAGAAAATAAGTATCATCCGTTCTAAAGAGAACATGCATCGTTCTTAGAAAATTGGGAAAACAAAAGCAATAATTTTCACAAACTACAAACATAAAAAAGTGTAGCCGCCCTACCCCACCTTAACTAGGTATGGAGGTGCGACAAGGTGACAAAACTATCCAATAGAATGAGAGACAGGAATGGTCGTCCCTCCCCGTAGCCATCTCTATTTCAAATTAAGTTTTTTCCTCCTCACTTTTCCCTTTGGATTTTGACCCGCCACGTTAGTTTTGCTCCAATATTATATTATGCGTGTAAAGATGGAACAAGTTGAACTTGTATCCATTATCTTTCTACTAACTACATAATATCATAATCTAGTCTCCTTGCCACAACTCGTAAGTCTTCATGGCACAGAGTTTTTCTTAGGGGAAAAAATGTTAACAAAATAAGAACTGTTTGGGTCGAGTGAATGCCTAAAAAGCCTTCATTAAGGCTTGCTCAACTCAATGTGGTCATTTTACACTTGGTAGTTTTTGTAGCCATCAACCAAGTTATAATAGGTGTTTCTGGACTTTCCATAGACGAGAAAAACATGGTAGAGATTCAAAATATTTGTATATGAAACATAAAATACTATAAGATCGGATTTTCAATAGAAAAGGAAAAAAATATACATATTGTTGTGACATTTTTATGTCCTAGGTTTAGTTTCCCACTTGCAAGATGAAAAGAATGGAGACTGTATATGTGAGAATAGACATAGCTTGAGTTATTTACTCAAATAGTCACTGAACTTTGCGAAAAAATTCTAGGAGATCATCGAATTTCAAAACTTTTCTAAATGGTCACTGAACTTTGCTAAAAGTTCCTTAGAGGTCACCGAGTTTCAAAACTTTCCTAACTAGTCACTGAACTTTACAAAAAATTCCTAGTGGATCACTCAATTTTGCAAATTAGAACCTCATACAACACTGTTTTAGTGACTACCTAGTAACTTTTTGCAAAATTCAGTAACAATTTAGAGAAGTTTTGAAATTCAATGACCTCCGATGAACTTTCAGCAAAGTTCGATGATCATTTAGGAAAGTTTTGAAATTCGATGATCTCCCAAAAACTTTTTACAAAGTTCAGTGATTATTTAGGAAATTAACTCGACATAGCTCTGCTTAACTAGCATGCACAGCTGTGGAAATGTCAAAATCTTGCCAAAGAGCCCCTTGTTTTCTTGCTTTTTCTTATTATATAATGCATTTTTTGTGAATATATGC